GATAACGTGAAGACTAATTAGTTGAAAGGTATGGTCAGATAGGCCATTCTCAGAAACTTTTTTATCTAGTAGAAGGGAGTTTATATTTGTACATATATAATCAATGGCAGTGGATGAGTTTCTGCCTACACGAGTAGGTACATTAAACACTGGAATAATATTGAAAGAATTTAAAATGTCTAGAAGTTGAAACTTATCTGAGTTATCCTGGAATAAATTAATATTAAAATCACCAGTTATAATAGTACGACTATAAGGAAAGATCCTGGTTAGGTGCTCTAGGCACAGCTCAAGTTGTACAAAGAAACTAGCCTTTTGGGATAGTGGAGACCTGTATATACATAGGATATTGGTTTTAATATTCTCTGTGTAAATCTGTATGCCGGTGCACTCAAAAATCAGCTCAATACAGAACGCAGAAACCAAGTCAATGCAGGAGAAACTGGTGCCATTTTTCACCAGGATTGAAACACCCCCGTGCCTGTTTTGGGTCCGATTAAAGTAACTAGCAGTATGGTAACCAGATATATTCAAACTGTCCATCTCTGAGTCAACACTCCAACTTTCTGACATGCACATAATGTCTATTTCTTCCTCCATCAAAAACACCTCCACTTCATCCACCTTGTTTCTGAGACATTGTATATTCTGGTGTGCTAGACGTAACACAATATTTCCTGAACTTTCTGAATGATTCAAGCTAAAAAATCTCCTCCTGGTTTGTACTTCAAAAACAGGCTGTGGTTGAAGCGCCTGATTCCAACATTTTGTGGTCAGAAATCTGGTTCATAAAGTTTATCTTTGTGGTTTAACGGTGCTGTCAATACAAAGGATTTCAATCTTGTAGGATCACTTGGTAACTCTTTCACTGAAATTTTCAAGTTTTCAAAACCCGGCTGCTTTGTAACATAGTCTTCAATTTGTTGTGATGTAACATGGCGTTTTATTCTATACAGATAAATCCAGGCTCTCCTATCACCACCCATGAAACTATCTGCTTCCTGTCCAGTACCCACATTTCTTGTGCCTAACCTCTTTTTCTGTGGTCTCCGCTGAACAACTTTGAAACCGTCATCACTTTTTTCTTCATCCAACGAAAATTGGGTTTCCCTACGTAAGTTATTTAGAGCATTTGCAGTGGTGTTCATATCACTTTCCAGATTTATGATTTGTTGTAATTTATTTTTGTGACCTTTGACCATTGTTTGATAGTTTTGATTTGTACCTTTGGGAAAATCAATTTTATTGGATTTTTCGTGATTTGGAAGCTGTCCCTTTGTAGTTTGGGGTTTAGAATTTGCAGCAGACTGAGATTTGGGCTCGAGAATGCTGGAATAAGATGGTTTGTTTACTTGTGGGTTTACTTTGAGGTTATCAATTTTCTCCAATAGCAGCGCATTGTTTTGTTTAAGCACATTACTTTTCTCCGCTAATTCATCCAGCACCCTCTTCAGGTACTGAATTTCCATAGTCATTTTTGAAACTTCCATTTTATGCAATTCATCATGTTTTTTCAGGTTAGAATCTTGACGTTGGCAACACTCGATTTTTGTATCATCAATTTTGGTCTTAATTTTACCCAGTCTCTTCACACAACTATTATGGTAGATGGAAAAACAATTTATGCATACGCATACACTACAACTTTTCTTTGAGCAGCACTTAAAACCACCCAAATTTGCATCTTTTACGCTCGTTTCAGAATCACCGTCTGACTCGCCCGCCATGTTGCCATATAAATGATTTCATACATTTTTGATACATCTCTCCGGAACACTCCGCAAAAATAGTTGAATCCATGTTCCTCTTTTTCACGAATGTAACCTTTATTTCATCTGTGTCGTTAATCCATTCATTTTGATTTCTTATAATCTGCTCAATTTGTTGTTTAGGTTCATTGCCTTCATATCCGGGAATTAATTATTTCGTATTTATTTTGTAATACGCTTTCAGCTGCCCTTTTCAAATCCTCAACTTCCTGTTTGGTGGGGCATTTAATGACAATGTTTCCATTTCCTGTCGCTCTCATACCTCTTATGCCAATGTTCAACTCAGAAGGATTAATCTTCTTGGTAATATCTTCTTTTGTCTTTGTTACATCTTGGATTAGTTTCGGACGAATAATCAGATTTGGGATATTGAGCCTGTCTTTTGCTGGCGGCCTGCTTGTTACTCCCGCATACGACTTTTCAGCATAATCATAAGTATTTTTATTTTCTTTTGTTTTTTTCAATTCTTCAATTTGTGTTTTTAGCATGCTTATAATTTCAACTTTGTCATCAATATTTGCATTTTTGCTGTCTATCACATCTTGTAAAAGTTTACATGTTTCAAGGTTTATGCATCTTGGTAACTGCCCAAGATGCAATCTCATTACCCTTTTGCCACGTAATTCCATAACTTTAACTTCCGATGCGGACAGGCCACCACATGACTTGCATATAGGATTCCTACAGCCATCACAGTTAAAGACTTCTTTTGATTTATCTTTATCGTTTATATATTGTGTATTATCATGGTTGCTTCCTGTTTTGTCTGTAAAAACAACACTAGAACTAGCCCAGGCTTAGGATATTTTAGTTTCCCGAACGATGAACGACTGTAAGTATTTATATTTACATATTTCATATTAGGTTTACTCTATACATTCACATAATCTTTGTTTATTATTATATGATACTCAATGTTAATCCACAAAAAATCCTAGTCCGACTCTGTCCACGGCCCAGGATTCGTTGTTTCCGATCAATAATGCGCAAGCGCGAAATATAGGGACATAGAATTTGGCTTGAAAAAAATCTATGGTTTGTCAACGGAGTTGAACAACTGTATGGGTACGGTATAAACTGGGATTGCTGCAGTAGCTAGGTGTTGTTTACAATACCTTCCTATTTGTCACTAATTGCTATCGCTGTCTTTTTTTTTTAATGTTAAGAGGAGAAGAGTAAAGTCAAAGTTAAAAGTGGAAAGGATAGTAATAATTTTCGTTGCTGTAAGCATACTGGTGACGTCATACTGAAGGGTATCATATTAAAAAAGTTTTAAAGTGATATCTTGAAAACTGTTCGGTATCAAACATTAGTGCAATGATCACTTCTGTTAAGGATGACTTCCTATACACATAACACAATATCAAAAATTCAGCAAAATTCCACATAGATCACTTTTCCATAAGAAATGTGCGGGGTCCTTTAAATTTTTTGTAGCTCTGTTCCAACCGACATGAGAACCGTTCTAGAACGGTAATTTCCAGTTGATCAATTCATTTGTCAAGTAGGATGAACTCATTAAAAAATAGGTGGGCAGCTGGAAATTACTGGTTCTGGAACGGTTCTCATGTCGGTTGGAACAGAGCTACAATTTCCGACATAATAATAACTTGTTAAAGGTCAATTTTGTTAATCTTCAGAATGAATAATTAAAACGACAGGACTTTTGTGCAGTTATTTCCAAAATAATATTTAAATATATTCTGACTTGTTGTAACTGATGTTATTCTTCTAATAATAATGCTTAAATATCTTTGAAAAACATTATTGAATAATTTGATACTTGATATTTGTCCAATTTTAGTCAAAACCCTTTAAATCTGGTACTATATTATGATTTATTTGCAAAGTCACACAGGATTCTGCGGGATCCCGCAAATACCTGGATCTCGCAGGATTGGAAATGTCCAGTCCCGCAGATACCGGGACTGGAATTATCTTGCGGGATTGCATTCCCTACCCCTCGCTGATAGGTATAGTTAGGGTTGCCAACCGTCCTGCATTTCGGTGGACGTCCACCATTTGGGGTTTATTGTCCAGCGTCCTTTAGCAACCTATTGCAGGATGCCTATTGTACTTAATTTTTAACTTGATGAAAAATTCTGTCATATCAAACCAGCTATAAACCTGGTTCTGGTTTATAACGAAAATCGTACATTACTTATGAAAATTGAATTTATTATTTTTGACTAATACTGAGTTGAATAATTTCTGGATGATTTTGCAAGTTGTATTTTCTATATTTGGGTCCAATGATGATGCTGAAATGATTTTTTTCAATGGCGTTCAGCTTCGTGGACTGATACGCGTAATCGATTATGCATTACACATCCAGGCAGAACTGCAAATAGAGATTAATTATTCTTATACTTGCAAAGAATGTCATGATTTTGTAAGAGGTACCTAACAAGAAGTTAATGGTAGCTGCAAAAAGTGAAAAAAAAAAATAGTTATTTTTGTATCTAGTGCGCGAAATGTTATTTCGCGCTCGAGTTGCAAACAATATTTTTTCTACCAATCCATTTAAATAACGATTATTCGAAGCTAAAATTGCATTTTCAAATAAAAGTAGGTGAATTTTAATTATTTTTGGTTTCCTGACAGGTATGTGTCACCATGACACCCAGTGTGCGAACTAGCTATTTCGCGCACACGTGCGCGAAATAGCTAGTTCGCGCACAGCGTCATGGGAAGGTTAAAAAATCAATACCTGGGAAAAAAAGTGTCACTTCGCAAACTGTCATGAGTGTGCGAACATCATCATTTTTTGACAGTTGTAGAAAAATATATATATATGATCTTAAACTCTGTATCTAAGTAGGTACCTGTACCTAACTTTATATTCTTTAGATAATTTGTTAATCTGCGTACCTACTTGTAAAATAAAATTTTACATTATTAGTTCCTATTCACCCAGAGAACTTGTGTTGGACAGTTTTTTTTAGTGTATCAGTCGAGGTATCAGTATATGTTTTTTTTCTGTCGAATTGTTTATTTAAGTTTGTAAATGGTTTTTTTCTCTGAAATAATAAAAATGTCCAGAATTTATACTGTATGTCCTGATATTTTATCACCCTCGTCCAGAAAAATTAAAAAACCCTAGGTATAGTGCCTACTCACTGAAAGGTTGTAGGAGGCCAATTAAAATATTTATGTGTAGTTTCTTATTCAGATTCCAGAATAGGGATTTTAAATAACTATAGAAAACGAGTTAGAAAATAAATAAATCACCTGGAGTAATATTTAGCACAGGTGGTGGTGGTTTTTCCATAGCAGGCAACAGGACAGCATTTTGGGAAAAGTCTTCAAAAGTATTGCCAGTCACAGAAGGGCTAAAAAGGGAATTTTTCACACACCTTTTGGAGTCCGACATCACTTTGAAATTACCACAATAACAACAAACAACATAAGAAAATGAAAAAAGGCTAAACGTCAAAAAAAAAACAAACATGGCACTGTTTCGACAGTGACGACAGTCGACAGCGCTGACATGAGCCGAGCCGCATACTGTATTCCTTTTATGCATCGAGTTACACCGAACGAACTCCTCGGAGTCACTCCAAAACACATTCAGCTGCCGGATTCTATTTTACGAGTCGAGTCGAAATTCGCATCGAATTGTCAAAATACCGATTCTATTTTCCGATTTATCAATAGAGAGTTATTGGACGTGCAATAAGGACGAGCAGTATTTAAATTAGCCTTATTTTGACATCTACGCATGCGCATTTGAGTCTGAGAAATAAAGATTCCAATAAAGTTGTCTTTATTTGTGTATGGTTAGTGCAAGCAGTAAATTTCCCTTATTTCAATATTTCTGACATTTTTGACGATTTTGACGTTTCACTTTTCGACCATGGCGTAATTTTACTTATAGCGTTTTCCATTTGTCTACAGGGCAAAAAAAATGTATCCTTACATGTTACATGCTTTTAGAAAAAGATGCGGATACACTCAGTGCGGCACTGATGAAAAATGGAAATCGCCATTAGAGAATATGTTTTTTACAATGGTTTTTCATTTTACTGTAGCTAACATTAAAAATGGATATCAGCAGAAAATATCAAACAAAAATAAACACTTTTTGAGATTAAAATTTATAAACATAGCTATCAGCTGTCAAAATTATGAAAACAAAATAAGGTAAATACTCCAACACCTACTAACTCAGATTAAGAACTCTAAAAACGACAGATAGGATACAACAGTAAACAAACAATTCGCGATCCAACATCCATAAGGTCGATTTTTGCATGAAAAGCCTGGTTGCCAATAATCCGATGTGATTTTCAATATTAAATGTTTTCACGGATAATCATTATTTCAAAATATGTTTTAACATAATATAAATGTTTTTTTATATCAATCTTTGTTGAAACATAACTTGAACGCCTTTTTGAAAAAAATAATTAGTCTTTTTTTAATTTAAATTGGTGAAAATTCTGGAAGAACCAGGAATATATGGCTCGAAAAACGGCACATCGGCAACGTTGCATCTACAGCAGCCAATCAGATGATTTTAGGTGACTTATGGCATCCATAATGGATTTCGCAGTGTTGCTGTGAAGTGATAGAGATAAATTTTGTGATTTGAGTGTTAATCAGTGGTATTTTTGGATTTAAATATGTGGAAAGTGTGGTGGAGAACGTTAAAATGGTAAATCGATGTATTATTTTTAATGATTCCAAGCACATTTTAATATTTCGGCGGTAAGAAATTTGACATCATTTTACACTTGACATTGGCGTAGATACAGGATATTATGGTAATTTATTGTGAATGGAAAAATTGAGAGAAAACTGAACACACCGCCACTGAACAGTGTTGCCATTTTATAGGTTTATCTCTCTCCTACTCATGTCAGGGACTAAAAGATGATTGATGATTGATTGTAAACATTGGGCGATTTCTAAATGGCATGTTTGGTCTCTAGTTTTATTATTAGTCTGAGCCTACTACAGTCTTCCAATAACTGTTATTTTCCTGGAGAAATAGTGCTGATGCACTAAAAAAATAACGTAGATCCTTAATACTGCGAGGCAGTATTTAATAGTTCCAATAACTCTCTAATACCTATTACACGGTAAGTCCGGAGCTGTCGTATTCGATATCGAGACAATTCGACTCGACTCGTTTAATAGAATCCGGTGGCTGGATTTTATCATTATTTTTTAATATTAACATTACCGTCATTACCTAAAAGGGCTTCTTGCTTTTGCAAATTTGGTACATAAGGGGTAAGGGGGATGCACTATGAGCGACTCGAGTGCTTTAAAACGCACTCTCAAAAGGAACGTTCACGCTTTTGACGTTGAGCAGCTCCGACTAACTCAACGGGTAAAAAGAATACAGTATTTCAGGGCCCGGATTCCAATTGACAATAGTTGTATTCCTTTCAAGAGTTTGAAACACCCGAGCTACTCGCTCCAGTGTTTCGTAGCCCCCGATTTGCAGGGAACAAATGCGTGGTGCAACAAACACTTTTTTGAAAGGAATAAGCGCGTGAAGCCCCGGAGCTGTTCCGGAGCTCCTCCTAGGTGTGAAAGGAATACAACTAATACGATATCGGATTAGGCGCTTTCGGTGAAATTTACGATTCCCATTCGAGAAATGAAACGGTCGCTTCGAATAGAACGCTATCGGATTACTCGCCAGCTCTAAGCTGGTGGATTGCTCGCTTTCGACATGAAATTGACAACGTTAGCCGCTTCCAGCTGTGTGCTTCAAGCACGGTGCAGCACAGTGTTCTGTGTTTGAAACGCCAAAGTTACAAGCTCTCAAAGCACAGTACGGCTGGAACAGGAACTCGCGCTTGAAGCATTTGCGCGCGCAAAAGCTCGATTGCGTGCTCAAAAGCGTCAGCTGGAAAGCGGCTATTGACACATGTTTTGTTGTTTTTTTCTATTCTTTACGACTTGAATTATTTTTCTATGGAAAGGGAAAGTCCCAAATCTCGCTATGATCCTGTGGCACAGAACCTCAGCGTTGCAAAGATTTTAATAAAATTAGGGACTGAATTATGGTACATCCCTTCAGCCAGAAAATTGCTTAAATATTTCTAGCAATCAATCGTCTATTCCTTTCTCGTCGAGCAATTCCTATTGTAGACGATTGTGAATAATATTGGAAGCATTTTTCAGTTTGACCTTCAAAGACACTTTCTATTAGTACCTACATAAAGACCATAAAGTAAACAATAAACAATTTGGAAGTAAACATATAAAGTGGTACCTACTTAACCTACTCATTGGTACCTGTACCTACTGAAAATTTCAATTACCTAGCCTTATTAGTGGCCGCGACAGGTAATAAATACGACAGTGCAAATCTATCTGTTGAGGTGGTTACACACGGACGTGAATGTCTGAAAACATGTACGCACATACATGAACGCGCAAACAAAAACATCAATGTGTATGCAAAATACCGTCGCGTTTTTGAATGTGCAAACTGTAGAGTGAAGGCGGTTACACACGGACGTGGATGTCTTAATACATATACGTGCATACATCAACGTGCAGACAACAACGTGCATGGCGCTTTTGTACAGACGCTCGCACAAAACTGCAGTCTTCCTATAGGCGGTTACACACGGCGCGTGGATGGCTTGATACATATACGCGCATACATCAACGTGCTAACAAAAACGTGCATGACGCCTTTGTACAGGCGCTCAAACAAAACTATCAAAACTGTAATCTTGCTATTCTGGCTACAGTGTTCCGAGTGTGCATACAAAATTTATAGCGATTGCATATTCAAAAACGCAACGGCATTTTGCATACACATTGATGTTTTTGTTTGCGCGTTCATGTATGTGCGTACATGTTTTCAGACATCCACGTCCGTGTGTAACCGCCTATTGATGTTTTTGTTTGCGCGTTCATGTATGTGCGTACATGTTTTCAGACATCCACGTCCGTGTGTAACCGCCTTGGCACTCAAATGAATTCTGGAATCGCTAGAAATTTTGTATGCACACTCAGAATACTGTAGCAAAAGTAGCAAGATTACAGGTTTGTGCGAGCGTCTGTACAAAAATGCGGTTACACACGGACGTGGATGGTTTAATACATATACGTGCATACATCAACGTGCAAACAACAACGTGCATGGCGCCTTTGTACAGACGCTCGCACAAAACTGCAGTCTTGCTATTCTTGCCACAGTATTCCGAGTGTGCATACAAAATTGCACATTCAAAAACGCGACGGTATTTTGCATACACATTGATGTTTTTGTTTGAGCGTTCATGTATGTGCGTACATGTTTTCAGACATCCACGTCCGTGTGTAACCGCCTGAAGTGACATGCACGTTGTTGTTTGCCCGTTGAGGCGGTTACACACGGACGTGGATGTCTGAAAACATGTACGCACATACATGAACGTGCAAACAAAAACCTCAATGTGTATACAAAATATCGTCGCGTTTTTGAATGTGCAATTTTGTATGCACACTCGGAACACTGTAGCAAGAATAGCAAGACTGCAGTTTTGTACGAGCGTGTGTACAAAAGCGCCATGCACGTTCTTGGTTGCACGTTGATGTATGCACGTATATGTGTTAAGACATCCACGTCCGTGTGTAACCGCCCTTGATGTATGCACGTATATGTATCAAGCCATCCACGTCCGTGTGTAACCGTCTTTGAAGTCAAATCAAAAAACTCGAAAAAATTAACAAAAGAACAAAAACAATCCAACTTCTAACTGTCACAAGTGGCAATTTTTATTATTTTTTAAGTTTGGCGGCACTTCTCTGTCTAATGCGCTTGAATGCTACGGTTGCTACGGATTTCGATACCGACCTATCCGTTTGGTGAATACTATTTCGAATGGGAATTCCGGATTGCTCGATATCGTATTTGGTATCGAGTACGAAAGCGATTCGATTTCGTGATCTCGATAGCAAATGGAATCCCCTAGCAGGGGCGAGTAGGGTGCGATTTTCGAAACCATTCGAGTACATTTCGTACACGAAATTTGACTGCTCTCCATTTAATTTACATTGCTGTCAGTTAAATTTCGTGTACGAAATGTACTCGAATGGTTTCGAAAATCGCACCCCAGAGCCGCTTTCCAGTATGGGAGTGTGACGCCCGGAGCTACTCGGGGCGTTGAGCTCCCGAGCTGTACGTACGCGTCAACCTGTCAGCTGTCACATCGGTGGGTGGCTATTTATTTATTTATTTCTTGTTATATCTCAAGATTGAACATTTAAAAAAATATAGTTTTGATTCTCTGCATTTTTGATAAATAAAAAAACAAACTGCACAAACAAACAGATAATTATTTTTAAAATTTGACATATTTGACACCAGGCGTCTCACGCCATGATACTGGAACGGTACAAATCTAGTGCGTGGCGCCCCCGAGGTGCTCTAGAGCGCGACAGAG